ATTTACTTCTACTGAAGCTATAGTGTCTCAGATAGGATCTATAATTATTAATTTTCCGGAGGCTGTCAGCACGACTTTGCGCTCCAATTATTGTGTAGCTCTGGATGTGAGGATTTCAAAGTATTTGTATCTGGATTTAATTTTGAGTATTTGGCGAAATAGTAAGTTTTTAGTCAATGCGTGTGTAACTTAATCTAATCTAAACCTTGAAGTGTAAACCAAGACATTTCTAAAAATAAAGATATTAAATCGAAATTCTAGAAAATTAAAAATGAATAAAATCTAGAAATCTACCACGGTGATTGAGCTCTGATATATTTTGTCTTGTCAAGGATCAATTTCAATGAATGAAACCAAAAATATTTTGCATTAATTCAATTTATTTGAATTTAAAAGTTTAAATAAAATATGAAAGAAGAAAAATTAAAGGAGCAGAAGTAATTGCATGAGATATCCATCATCTTTTCTTGAAAATTGATAATTTTTTTTAATTGTAGTTCTCTACAAAGTGACTAGCACAGTTCTACTTCACAAACCATGAAAGAAATACCTTTTAAGTTAGAAAACTGACGATATCTTCCACATTAATTAATCTGACCCTATGATATTGCTCAACGATGGTATTAGAACTACAGTGTGATCACCAGAAAACATGAGCCACATTAATTGTGCTGTGTAAACAGACCCATTTCACTTAATAATAATTATTAATTCTTCTATTCTACAGCTTTCACTGTAAAAGGTTGAATTTAAGGATGGTGTATCTTTCGACCTACGAGAAAAATAATGCGAAAATTTCGCGAAAAACGATGTATTGTCGACTGACGGACAGACAGAAACTTAAAAAGATAGCTAGTGAAATCAAATTCTCTTCATCAAACATTTATTAAAGTAAAGAAAGAGAAATTATTTATATGACATAATAAACTTCGAATATTGACCTATCAAAGCAGAGAATTCCACAAGTTCTTTTGAGCAATTAACTGTTGCAGCTACAAAACTCATGGTTTTCACAAAATTTTCGCATTTTCACAAATTTTCGCATTTTCACAAAATTTTCGCATTTTGTGAAATTTTCGCATTTTCCCAAAAATAAATTTTCCACCGTTTTCGCTTCATTTATTTTCGCGAAAACATGCGAAATGCGACGACAATTTTCGCATTTTTTCGCGAAACGTTTCGTTGGCTGGAAACCCTAAACTGCAGAGATAACTCTACTGAATCAATTTAGAGCCGGCTTTTTCCTGCACACCTGGTTCCCTAATGTACTAATTCTAAATGAGCTTTCTTCATTTGATGACATATCTAACTGATTTGTTAACAAAAGAAGAAACCGATAAAAGACGATAGACAATCTTCAGATCGTTATAATTATACAGCTTCAGGTCGTCATTAGAGTCTTATTTGTTACGGGTAGCAATGTATAATTCTTTGTTTAATATAAGCTCTTGCAAAGAACAAATATAGATATGTATGTACTGTGTAACTTGATTGAACAGCATGTTCACGTTATGGGAAGGGAAAAATCAGTTTAAATTATGAGCCAACATTTAATGGTAAATAAACATGCTAATGGTGAGTAACCATTTTAATGGTGATTACACGATTAAACCATGAGAAAACATTAATACCATGAGTAAATATTTAAACGCATGAGTAAATATGAATACCATGAGTAAATATTTAAACCATGAGTAAACATTTAAATCAGGAGAAAACATTTCAACCATGAGTAAACACATTTAAACCATGAGTAAACATTTAATCCATGAGTAAATATTTAAACCATGAGTAAACATGTAAACCATGAATAAACATTTAACCATTAACCAAGAGTAAACATTTAAACCATGAGTAAACATGTAAACCTTGAGTAAACATTTAACCAAGAGTGAACATTTAATTCATGAGAAAACATTTAAACCAAGAGTAAACATTTAACCAAGAGTAAACATTTAATCCATGAGTTAATATTTAAACCATGAGTAAACATGTAAACCATAAATAAACATTTAAACCATGAGTAAACATTTAAACCATGAGTAAACATTTAAACCAAAAGTAAACATTTAAACGGTTAAACCATGAGGAAACGTTTAAACCATGATTAAACATTTAAACCATGAGAAAATATTTAAACCATGAGTAAACATTTAAACCATGAGTAAATACTTAAACCCTGAGTACACATTTAAACCATGAGTGAATATTTCAACCATGAGTAAACATTTAAACCATGAGTAAACATTGAAACCATGAGTAAATATTTAAACCCTGAGTAAACATTTAAACCATGAGTAAATATTTCAACCCTGAGTACACATTTAAACCATGAGTAAACATTTAAACAATGAGTAAACATTTAAACCATGAGTAAATGTTTAAACCGTGAGTAAACATTTAAACCATGAGTGAACATTTAAACCATGAGTAAACATTTAAACCATGAGTACACATTTAAACCATGAGTAAACATTTATTAAAATATGTGTGCTTTGAGTAAAAACTTCCAGTAAAAATTAAAATATTTTAACATAAGAGCCAAGAGCTAAGTTATCTAATTCTAACGGGGTTAAAAACTAAGAACTAACAAGTAACATTAATTTAAAGTAATCATAAAAACCTTTGATAAAAAAAAGACAAATCTAATAATGTTTTCATTCAGAATAAATTGATTACTAAACATACATCTAATAATACTAGCTTGGATATTAAACTTTCTCTATAAAACTCAACCAACTTAACCCTATTTCTGCTGGGGTACTTGAAAACCAGGATATGCTGGTATATATTTCCCCCCCCCTCTAAATCCCATGTTTGATGTCAAAATATGACAAATGATACATCGTTGGAAAGCTCTTGTGCTCTACTTTTAGAATCTGCAAAAAAATTTGCAAATTTGCAAAAATTGAATTTTTTATCGCAAAATCCAGTTATATAGTAAAACTGTTTGCAAAAACAATTTGTCCAAAAAATGAAAAATTATACATTTTTGAAAAGCCCTTGACCATGCCATTTTAAATATGCAAAAGATTTTGCAAAATTTTAAATAACCTGATTTTTAGTAAAGAAAAACTAAAAATGTGCAACTTTCCTTTGACAGGTTGTTTGCAAAAAATTTGCAAAAAGCTAAATTTTATCAAAATCTGACAAGTGAAAGTGGGTCAAAACAAAGATTTAGTCTGCTACAGGAAAAAGCAGTCATTCAGGCAGTGTGCCTGAGAACTCAGGCAGTTAGTATTAAAGCCCGGTTTTAGGCCTAAAGAGAGGGCTTTGGGTATGTAGGAAAAGTCAGAAAATTTCAACAGCCTCAGACCAATACTTTTTGAGTTATGTAAAAAAAACTACAGGGGGGGGTCAAATTGACCACCCCCCCCCCCCAGCAGGAATAGGGTTAATCTAGAATTGCTAAACCAAGCTAAGAACATTCTCCTGGTTGTACCAAGTTCCCGAATCAAAATTTGTGGCTCATCAGTCAAGGGTTAGGGGTTCTATAGTTATGATCTGAAATACAAACGGAGATTACTACTTTATGTATGTACTAGCGCTGCCCAAGTTACTAAAAGTTAATCCCGCCGTTTACCTGCACTTGAATGATTTTACCGGGAAACTAAAGTCAACCACTCAACTTAGAATCTCAAATCCAAGCTAAGAAAATTCCTGTGGTTCTCCCGCGTTCCCTAATCAAAATTTGAAGCAAATCGGTCCGAGGGGTTCCTCAGTTATGATCGGACAAACAGAGATTACAACTTTAAATATATTTATATACCTAGATATCCAATTTACTTACAATCTTTGTAACATTCAATTTACACGATAAAACATGCATTTCAAAGATATAACTCTGTTTTGAATTGCAAAGATGTTCCATATAACGGGTAATTTTGAATTAAAACATTCAAAATTTCCCATGAAAGAAGTTTGCGTGAAAAGGGTAACTTACTAAATTCAAAAAGTAATAAGGAAGAATGTAGGGGATGAAAAATAGGAAGTTTTTAAATCTTAATTTAAAATATTTGTGAAATATGTTGTAATCAGCCCCCCTGGTATATTTTGTTTCCGCTCTAGTAGACTTCTGATCAATCCCTCAGTAGTGGTTAAATCTTGCTCCAGTTCACATTTCATAGTGTACTCTCTCACAACAAAAATATTTTCGTGGATTTGCTAAAAATCGGCAAATTGCGATATTTCAGGGCTTTTATATTTCTTCGTAAATCATAATTTATAAAACCTTTGAACGCTGCACCCAAGCTCAATAAATGAAGTTGAGAATGAAATGATTTATCATGATGTTTTTACAAGTTAGAAAAAGCCTTGTCCCTCCCACCTCTCTCTGAAGCACTCCATCATGTACAGTACTCTCTATACTCCTACACCCTTTTCTTCTTAACTATCTCATAAACAAGCTAGAGACATTGTTTTGTTGTCAACAGATCTGTTGTAAGAAGAAATTCTATTATAAAATTTAGAACCTATAGTTATAAAAATATTATTTACGTTCTTTATGATTATGTCTCATTATCTTAGTATTTGTTTTCATCTATATTTAATAGCTACAGTGGGACTCATAAAAATATGGAATACGAAGCAATCTTATGTGTTTTTGAAGTAGATGTTATTTAAAAAAATATTAACTTGAAAGCTTTAAAATCGACTGAAATGGATTTTTTGTAAAATGCACACCTGCTGTGTTTTATGTTTATCGGATTTTTTAAAGTCATATTAATATTCCACGGGTCCCACTGTAACACTGAACTATCTTTTGTAGACGTGTCTCTCATGGATGATTCATGGTTTTCCTGATCTTCTCTTTACGGTTCGGTAGCTTGGTAAAATATAGGAGGGGTTCCAGTTTCTAGTCTCTCTTTGTTCAGCATTTTATTCTTATAAATAATTTTTCTAAAATTAAAAATTTCATGTTTTGAATGAAATCAATGGAGAAGAACAAAGGATGTTAAAAAATGCAATCAAAAGACTTTTAAAATTTTATTTTCAGAAATGAATTTTTTGTCTATCTAAGATGCATCTTGAGAAAGGTGGGACGAGCGTCCTTACTCCGGGTGTAATCTATCCCCGAGGGTTTGAGAGGAGAGGGTTGGGACCTCTTCCTGTACACCTGGAGAGACGGAGAAGAATATATTTATCTCAACCAGATCTGCTAGATCAAAAACCAAATGTTCAAAGGTAAGAAGCTCTTTCAAAAATCTTGATATTTGAGAGAATGCTAAATGCTCTAAAACCATTTTTATTCCAAAAATTAAAACTAAATACACATATCATTGGTTTATTCCTTTAATTACTAAGACGTCTTTAAAGGGTACCGTTGTGAATCAGGTAATGCCATCTTTGCATGAAGGGTCACTTGAAATTACGCTTATAGTCCCCTGTAAAGCATGTTGATAAGTTTTTTATATGAATAATTTCGTGAAGTGATATTTGATCCTACCGGATTTGCTAAGAAGGCCTCTTTCAGTTCTTCTATGATCAGCAAAAATATAAAACATTTTTCATGAATTCATGAATCTAAATGCTTTTATATATTTAATTCAACAAAAATAGATTTTTATTTAGAAATATTGATTTTTGAATTTACTTATATTCATTAAGATTAAATTTTCTCATAGACAGAAACCGATTACTCGTTTCAAACCCTAAATGATTTGTCCTATATCTTTGTAACCTGATTGTGTAAACAGCTGATATTTCAAAGTTTGACTGATAGATCTTGTTGAATTCATAGCTTGAAATATCAAATATACACGACATCAGGTTGCAAAGATATATCTACAGTGAAACCCTTGATAACGAATACATCGAAATAATTAAACAAAAGTCGTATTCTTCACTTTCTGATAATGGAATGTTGCAGATATTTAGTTTTTTAATTAAATGATTATATGGAACTCTTTAAAACTGTTCCCGCATATTCATGGCTATTTATTTATTTTCGCAAATACTGAAATTTACGTAATATAGCATAAAACTCATTGAAAAATTGTCAAGACGACATTTGATAAATTCTTCCGATGTATTCGTTATTAAGGGTTTCACTGTATTAGAAGTTTCGAGGGAAGTAATCAGTTCCTTTGTTTAACTTTTTTATAATTCCAGAAAATACTTGGGAAGATTTGGGAGCAACCTGGATCTAAGTATACAGAAACCCCGGAATTCTCCGATCCTTGCGATCTCAACCAGAACCCAGAGAAAGGACTCCAACCGGGACCCGGAGAAGGTTGAGAAAATGGTAATAATCCAGTGTGAAAGATTAACTGATGAGAGGGAGCAGGAGCAGGTTGAGATTGAGATCCCTCTCTCCGTGTACAACAATATGCAGGCGCACAGTCGGAACCCGGGGCTCAGGCTCAGGGTAGCCGGGAGAGCAGGGAGAACTGGGCTGGTTCATAGGATCAAGAAACTTTTTGAAAAGGATTAAAAACTAAAATTTGATAGGTTCAAAGATTCAATAATTCTTTACAATTCGCTGTTTTCTCCTCTGCTTTTCATTCTTTCTCAAACTATCATTCAAACTTTAAATTGTAAATAGATACATTCTCCAAATCAGGGATGTACGCAGGGTTTTTCCAGAGGGGGGGGGCTTCAAATATATGAAGATTTAAAATTGAATAATTAAGATTTAAACATTTTTATATCTATCATTCATTGTGTGTGTCGTTTTTTTTACGAAAACGTAACATGTCACATTATTAAACTGTTTCCAAAAATAATTAAAACTATTTTATCAAGTCTTGAATTGAATTCATAACTACAGTTGGACCCGAAAAACTATTAAATAGGAAGACGACTTACACTCATAATATGTTGGCATATATAATAACATTAAATATATACACGTATTGTACTGCTTGTCTATCAAATTCCTATTTCGTAGTCAGGGGCGTAGCCCCTCCCTGAAATTTCGAGTCAAAAAATGTTCCCAATTTTATAAATCGAATGTGTTTTTCAATTTCAAGCTTTTTTATTTAATTGAAATCTTGACTTTCTTTTCTTCAGTTTAATTTAAAAATCAACGACAACAAGTAAATGTTATTGTTAACGATAAATTTAGAATTAGAAATTTGTAAGAAACTAGACTTAAGTTATAATATTGTTCATATCTAGTAATGTTCCTTAATCAATACTCATTTATCAAAATTGTAATATTGGTCCTAATTTTGATGTTTAAGTATAACTAGTAATTTCTTTTTGTTTTCAAATTGCTAATGTTCCTATTATTGTTCCTGTTCCTAATACTGTGTCCGACCCAACTTAAATCCCTGTCCTAATCCAATATTTTTGTTCCTAATTCCTGAACGATATTTTTATTGTTCCTAAATCCCTGTTCTAATCCATTATTTTTGTTCCTAATTCCTGAACAATCTTTTTATTGTTCCTAAATCCCTGTCCGAATCCTTTAATTTTGTTCCTAATTCCTGAACAATCTTTTAATTGTTCCTAAATTCCTGTTCTAATCCGTTAATTTTCTTCCTTAAAGTTAAAAATCTAGTTTTTTTAGTCTTTAGTCAATAATTTTGACTCTTTTTGAGTCTTTAAAGTCAAAAAAAATTTTTGTTCCTAATTATTAATTTTTTTGTTCCTAAAAAGTCTTGCCCCCCCCCCTCACTTAAATCCTGTATCCGCCCCTGTTCGTAGTTGTATGGGTCCCACTTTTATGTTATCTTATTCGCATTGTAAAGTTTTATAACGGCATTATATTGTATATAGCACAGACAGTTACCATAGAAATATAAAAAATAAATATTTATCAGTATCATATGTTTTAAACTATTTTGAATTAAAAAATGTTCATCCAGTTTGAGAAACAATGATATCTTTGGCACAGGTTCTCAGATAAAGAAATGGCAATGTAATAGTTGTGAATGGTTTATGACACTCTTAAAGTGACTATTTCTTTACGAGGGACCCTCTCAGACGCTTGTCTGATGTATCCTTTCTTTTTTGTGCCATAGAAATCCGCAAATTACTTATAACTAGAAAACCCAAAGTTAAAAAAATCAGTTTTCTGACAGAAATACATGCATGGGTATTATTAAAAGATTAAAGTTTTAAACCACATATGCCACTCTATATTCCTTTTAACTTTTGTCACTTACAACAATGTATAAATTTTCATTAAAATTCTTTGCCCCCCCCCCCTAGTTGCGCCTGTAAAAGATAATGATATTTAGTCTGGTTTTGTAACCTGAGAAAAATATCGGAACAATAGCGTTGGTTTGAAATGAATAATGGTTTCTATCATAGTTCCGTTTCCGATTCAAACCGGAAGTAAGCATATTGTGGGTAAAGTTGACCAGTTAGTTAGTTAGATAGATCAATAGATAAATAGATAGATGTATTTAAAAGAAAACAATATAGAAGATAGCATGGATGCATAGATAGATATGTATAATGTACATGGATAGATAAAAAATGTAGATAGAGAGATGGATGGTTACATAACTTACAATATAGAAGGTAAATGAATGCATAGATAAATAAATACAGGCCGAAGGGTGGCCCAAAAAACGATGACTCGAAAAAGTGCTCTAGTTTATAGATTTTTAAATTTAGAAGAGTTCGTTTAAGTAACATTTTGTAGTTTCCGTTTGACGTAAAACTATGTCAAATGTTCGAAAACCAGTTGATCATTTTTTATAATTCTGTACAAATCTATATTGTAGAGAAGAAGAAAAAAAAGCTTAGAAATTGTAATAATTGATACAAAGCTGTTTGCAACCACGGGGCCGGGATTACTGCAAGTGTAAAGGTTTTTCACGTCTATAGGGGGAGGGGGAAATCTCAAATACGTCTCAGAGTGGTTAAAATTCTAAAAAACACAGATTCAAGTTAATAAAGATTTATTTAAAATGAAAAAGTAATACTATCAGCATGATAAGCTAGTGATGTATGATAGGAGTACTGATCAGCATGATATAGCTACTGATGTATGATGGGAGTGCGGATCAGCATGATATAGCTCCTGATGTATGATGGGAGTACTGATCAGCATGATATAGCTCCTGATGCATGATGGGAGTACTGATCAGCATGATATAGCTACTGATGTATGATGGGAGTACTGATCAGCATGATATAACTATACTGATGAATGATGGGAGTACTGATCAGCATGATTAGCTACTGATGTATGATGGGAGTACTGATCAGCATGATATAACTATACTGATGAATGATGGGAGTACTGATCAGCATGATATAGCTCCTGATGTGTGATGGGAGTACTGATCAGCATGATATAGCTCCTGATGTATAATGGGAGTACTGATCAGCATGCTATAGCTACTGATGTATGATGGAAGTACTGATCAGCATGATATAGCTACTGATGTATGATGGAAGTACTGATCAGCATAATATAGCCACTGATGCATGATGGGAGTGCTGATCAGCATGATATAGCTACTGATGCATGATGGTAGTACTGATCAGCATGATATAGCTACTGATGCATGATGGGAGTGCGGATCAGCATGATATAGCTACTGATGCATGATGGGAGTACTGATCAGCATGATATAGCTACTGATGTATGATGGGAGTACTGATCAGCATGATATAGCTACTGATACATGGTGGGAGTGCGGATCAGCATGATATAGCTACTGATGTGTGATGGAAGTACTGATCAGCATGATATAGCTACTGATGTATGATGGGAGTGCGGATCAGCATGATATAGCTACTGATGCATGATGGGAATGCTGATATTGCATAGGTTCTTCCCTCCAGGCCTCTCCATCAAACCTTTCCATAGTTTGGAGAGAGTTATAGCCTCCATCACTGCCTCCGAACACCACCAAGTTGTCATCTACCACCTCCATGGTCACATCAGCACGTGCATTGAGCATCGGAGGTCCTGTTCTCCAAGAGCGCAACCAAGGATTGTAAATTTCCACAACATTGAGACGGTGACCATTGAATCCTCCTGCAACATATGCTTCTCCATTGTAGAAAGCACAATCATGGGTATACCTGCAGACATTTAGTATTATTATTATTATTATTATTATTATTATTATTATTAATATAATTATTAATTATTATTTGTATTACTACTATAGAATGTTATAACCCTAGATAGAATCTCTTAAAGTTTTGATAAAATTTCATATTTATACGTGAAATAGAATAAAATACATTTTTTAATGCTTGAAATAAAAAATCAGAATAATAGGCATGACGAAAAGGTTTGTATCACATTTTTTTTTATTAATTCATGATAGAATTATCTATTATTTTGATAAGCATGAAGAACCTTCTTTTCCAGAGATAGAACAGATCGATATTTTACACTGACAAATCAAAAATAAACTTCCAGCGAAGAGCTAGAGAATTACCTTGCTGTTGGCATAGGTGGAAGCTGTTCCATAAACCCCTCATTTATATCATAAATCTCTACAGTAGACAAGTCAATATTTCCCTCCACCTCTCCTCCAATTACCAGAACTTTACTTTCACTAAAAAAATTTAATTTCTTATTTTTTTTAACAGGTTTGTAAACAAAAATCCTTTGATTTTAAAAAAGATTTCTCTTTTTAAATATTCAATATTAAATATCCTAACATTCATAAAAAAATCTTAACCAGTAAGTAAAGAGAAATTCTTCAAAAAATAAAAAAAAAATTCTCCCGAATTCCATTCTAACATTTAACAATTATAAAAAACTCAAATTTAATGAACGGGGTTATATAAGTACAAGATAGGAATTAGCTTAGTACCTGATAGAGATTAGCTTGGTACCTTTGGATTAGCTTAGTTCATGATAGAGATTAATTTATTATCTGATGGGAATTTGCTTGTGGTACCTGATAGGGATTAGTTTAGTACCTGACTGGGAATAGCTTAGTACTTGATAGGGATTAGCTTAGTACCTGAAAGGAATTAGCTATAGTACTTGATGGGGATTATATTTATCCCTGATAGGGATTAGCTTAGTACTTGATAGGTATTAGCTTAGTGCTTGATAGGTATTAGCTTAGTACCTGATAGAGATTAGCTTAGTACCTGATAGGTATTAGCTTAGTACCTGATAGGGATTAGTTTAATACCTGATTGGAATTGCACAGTGATCATATCTGCTTTGTGTCAGATTAAAAGGTAAAAGTTTCCAGCTGCTTCCATCGAAAATCTCCATTGAAGAAAGAAATCTAAAATAAAATAAAAATCAGGCCTGATTTGGCTGAAAAGGTTTCTTTTTCCGGAGGCCAAAACTTGTATTTGAAAATGCATGTTTAGGCGGTAAACCTCGAGTTTAGTTAATACAATTAAACTTTAATCCTTCAATTTAAAAGTTTAGGCGGTAAACCTCGTTTAGGCGGTAAACCTCGAGTTTAGTTAATACAATTAAACTTTAATCCTTCAATTTAAAAGTTTAGGCGGTAAACCTCAATTTAAGTCAAAAAAATTAAAGTCTATCCAAATCAAAAGCTTTAACCTCTGACTAAATCTTTTTTATACAGTAAGAGCCAGCACACTCTGGAATATGAAGACGACTTTATGAGTTAAGGTATAATTGACAATTGAGTTTATAAGTTACTAGTAAAACTATATGCTTTGTAACATTATCAAATATACTTAATATTGCTGTAATGTCGCCTTCATATTTCACAGTTTTCTGGTTCTCACTGTATCAAAATACAATCTTACCCGTCCTTATTTCTTCCCCCAACTGCTAGAAGGTTGTCTCCTAGAGCTGTCAGAGTAAAACGGGATCTTGCCACATTCATGCTTTCTATCTCAACCCACCTCCCCAGCTCATTCACAAAACAGATGTGACTAAATAAAATATTCTATTAAAGGGATTGTAGACGTAATTTCAAGTGATCCTCCATTTAAAAAAAGTGGCATTTACAATTAACAACGGTACCAATTCAAAAAAATTGAAAAAAGAATGAATAATAAGTTTTTTCTATCTGACTCACTTTTTGTCTTATTTTAAACTGGCATTAGTTTTGATGAGAGTATTAAAGAAAGAAAAAAATAGTGACAAATTGAAAAAAAAATTGGTTTACCTTACAACACCATCTGGAGAGACGAGATTGCAACTTATGATATTTTTAAACAATATTTTTTAATTAAATACTTTAAAGGGCTTTAGATAAAATTGATTAAAATCAGAAATAACAAATATTCTACTAAATCTTCTAGATTTTTTTCTATGATATTTTTCTCCCGTTAATCTTTATTTCCAAACTATGAGGTCAGAGCTGAAAACTTTAGAATGGTGGATATCAAGATTAATGCTTGATCCTCGCTTTTTCTTAATTTCGAGACTAACATAATCTTGCACTTGTATCCTGAAAAGTGCATAAAATTCAACCAATTTAGAGTCGCATATATGAAGCCCATAAAGTTGAAATTTTGCGCGCCATTTAAGATTATTTACAGAAACGGAAGGGTCTCTCTAATTTTAAAAAACTGGTTTTTGATTTTTTCTCTTCTATATCCAAGAAAGAACGGTTTAAGAAGAAAATCAAAAGTGTGTCCATTGGATACTTAGATTAAGTAATCGAAATTAAGGATATCTCATTCTGAAGATTTCAGCTCTGTTAGATCAAATATTCTAAGCTTGAAATATGAAAAGTCAACACACAAAGAAAAAGGGATTAGAAAATTTGAGTTTATGCAAGAACTCAGTTCCTTTGTAATTAAAGAATGTATGATTATATGAAAAATGTCCAATTCTACATGAGTTGCATTACTGGTATGTTCTCCCCCACAGTAAACTAGTTGTTCCATCAGAACAGCAGCTTCTGAATTTTAAAAATTGATTTAGTCTTAGAAAATAAATTTTTTTGTATATCGTGTTGTTTTCTATTAGTATAATTATCACATTGGAACGCTAAATTGAATAATAGAGAAAACAAAAGTTGAGTTGTGTGTTTCAAAGTTACTACAAACGTTATAGTTAAAGTATCCTCTATTTAAATAGTTGCACGCCGGATTCACATAAATTTGATTTAAACCTCCATCTAAACAAAACTGAAGAAAATATTCATGCTTTTCTCGGACAAAAGCATGTTTTAAGATGAAAACCCAACAATATTTTGCTTATTATTGATCAGAGTAAGATACTGTTGTGAATTATACGAGCAACTCGTTAATGAGGGGGGGGGACGGGGGGGGAATTAAAATTTAAGTAGTAGGTTGTAATTAATACTCAACTTTTTCTTTGCCTAAAATTTGTCTTTTTCAATTGCTGGGGTTTCAACTAAGGAATTGAGTTTTTGCCACAGACAAAAATGTTCTTATCTCTTCATCTTTGCAGCCTGATGGTGTAAACCTTTGATATTTTAAACTGAAAATCTTGATCTAACAGAATTCATAGTTTGAAATATTAAATTTCTACAGCATCAGGTTGCAGAGATACAGGGATTAAAAAGTCAGTGTTTGTGGCAAAGACTCAATTCCTTTGGCCCTTTAATACTATTTGTGATAAGCGTTTAGTATAACAAAGAAAAAGAAATAAAGAAATAATTCCAAAGATTTTTTTAATAAAATCAATGATCCAATTTTTTATTGATAAGTGGGATGTTATTCAATTTTATTATCTCAGTATAATTGACATAACTACCCGCCATATTATGGATTGGATTTGTCTTCTATGGCAATAATTATTTACAACTACTTTACAGTGAAGTTAAGGTAATTCTAATTGGTCTTGGACCCTGTGGTTTGGTAAAATTTTTCATTTTCTGAAAAAGTTGTTGTACTCAATTTGATCGTCGTTTGAAAATGAAAATGCGCGAATTTTTTCACGGGAACTTCGCAGTGCAAGTCGTTATTTTACCTAATCTTCGTTGGGGAAATCATGGGTAGGTATAATGTAGGTTAAAAGGCGGTAATAATTATTTACAACTATTTTACAGGGAAGTTAAGAAAATTTAACTTTACCAAGGGTTCCCAAGACCAATGTTGCAAACAAAACATCTCGAAAAAGTAGTTGTACACAATTTAATAGCAAATGCGCGAATTTTTTCATGAAAACCTCGCAGAGCAGGTCGTTATCTTACTTAATTGTTCAAAGGTACATTAAGTAACTTAACATCCCTCTCTTAACAGTCTTAAGGGAATCATGGGTCGGTAATGTTGGTCAAAAGACGGTAAATAGTAATCTACCTAATCCCTCTAGTTTTCCTACGTCTTCTACTACCAGATCACAGGAGTAGGTTTCTGTAGCGCCAGCTTAACAAATACATATCCAAGCTTATATTTGGCGTGTCAGATTGTAGGGTTGGTAATTAAATACATATCCAAGTTTATATTTGGCGTGTCTGATTGTAGGATTGGTAATTAAATACATATCAAAGTTTATATTTGGCGTGTCTGATTGTAGGATTGGTAATTAAATACATATCCAAGCTTATATTTGACGTGTCTGATTGTAGGATTGGTAATTAAATACATATCCAAGCTTATATTTGGCGTGTCTGTTTGTAGGGTTGGTAATATTAAATACATATCCAAGTTTATATTTGGCGTGTCTGTTTGTAGGGTTGGTAATTAAATACATATCCAAGTTTATATTTGGCGTGTCTGTTTGTAGGGTTGGTAATATTACATACATATCCAAGTTTATATTTGGCGTGTCTGTTTGTAGGGTTGGTAATTAAATACATATCCAAGTTTATATTTGGCGTGTCTGTTTGTAGGGTTGGTAATTAAATACATATCCAAGTTTATATTTGGCGTGTCTGTTTGTAGGGTTGGAAATAAAATACAAATCCAAGCTTATATTTGGCGTGTCTGTTTGTAGGGTTTGTAATTAAATACATATCCAAGCTTATATTTGGCGTGTCTGTTTGTAGGGTTGGTAATTAAATACATATCCAAGCTTATATCTGGCGTGTCTGATTGTAGGGTTGGTAAACAAATACATATCCAAGCTTAACTTGGCGTGTCTGTTTGTAGGGTTAGTAATATTACATACATATCCAAGTTTATATTTGGCGTGTCTGTTTGTATGGTTGGTAATAAAATACATATCCAAGTTTATATTTGGCGTGTCTGTTTGTATGGTTGGTAATAAAATACATATCCAAGTTTATATTTTGCGTGTCTGTTTGTACTGTAGGGTTGATAAACAAATACATATCCAAACTTATATTTAGCGTGTCTGTTTGTAGGGGTGGTAATATAAAATACATATCCAAGTTTATATTTGGCGTGTCTGTTTGTAGGGTTGGTAATTAAATACATATCCATGTTTATATTTGGCGTGTCTGATTGTAGGGTTGGTAATATTAAATACATATCCTAGTTTATATTTGGCGTGTCTGTTTGTAGGGTTGGTAATTAAATACATATCCAAGTTTATATTTGGCGTGTCTGTTTGTAGGGTTTGTAATTAAATACATATCCAAGTTTATATTTGACGTGTCTGTTTGTAGGGTTGGTAATTAAATACATATCCAAGTTTATATTTGGCGTGTCTGTTTGTACGGTTTGTAATTAAATACATATCCAAGTCTATTTTTGGCGTGTCTGATTGTAGGGTTGGTTGGATTTAGCTGAACTGATCAAACCAACATCTTGAATATCCCCAAGGAACGTTTATGATCTGTCAGAATAAAAAATGTCTCTCAAAGATTTAATGAGTTTTGAAATTTCCAAATCCGGAAAAAGTTTTCTTGTTGTTTAAAATATGACAAATGAAGATCAAGAATACAAAGAAAAGATTACTATTCATATAAAATATAATAATAATATATACATTTGATGCCATAGCTGAGAAAATATATGATAAAAACTTACAATCATAAAGGCCTCCAAGAATTACTGCAGCATTAGCTCTGAAATATATACGAATATGTCAAAACTAGAATCTAAGCGTTTGACGCAAACTCAAAGTATACCTAATACCTATATATTTGCAATCTGAGGATGTAAACCTATAATATTTCAAACTTAGACTTTTTGGTCTGCGACTTTAGGCTGCAAAGATATAGGGGTAAGGAAATTAGAGTTTGTTGCAGTTCATTTGTTCACAATGTGCTCTCGTGCACATTACTTTTCTGTCATTGAATAAGTTTCTGTACAGGATATAGAGCTTGTTCTTAGGCATATCCGCAGAGCTCGATATCCACAATGTAAACTTCCTAGATAACGGGATCTAGGAAGAGATAGTTAAGAAATGAATGCATGTCCGATTCACAACGGTCCCTTTAAACATTGGTCTGATCAGGAATGAATAAGATTTCCGCATTTTTTGCGGAATTTTTTTATTTTTAATTTTAGTTTCTCTAGGAAAGTGACAGAATTCAATACTTTTATCAATACAAAAATTACGATATTTTCCTCATTGTTACTCAGATAGATTTTAAAAGGTACCATCGTGGATTGGACTTGTCACTCTAAAAATGGAGGGTCTCATTTAGTTAGGCCTTCGGTCCCTTGAAATTAAACCGCCAGGGGGCAAGGGAACTGATCGAGCGGTTATGAATAATATTTAAAGTACATAAGTTTTCCCCTCTAAAAATCTGATTATTTGATTAGTATTATTATTATATACTAGCTGAAGTGCCCAGCATTGCCCGTGGAATTTTAAAAATACGGTGAACATTTTTTTGAATTTTGAAGAAAAAATGTTGGACTTTTTTTTAGCCTTTGTAACCCCTGGGTTTCCTCAACAAATTTCAGCCAATTTGGTTCAGCCGTTTGACCAGCTATAAGCTAACAAATATATTTGAACTTTATTTATATATAGATCTAGCTTACACACCCGCAAGTAGTTTTCTTCCCTGAAGGTACCACAACCTATAGACAATTAGATTTATTATGCAAAGAAGAAAAATACAGTTATCCGAAAAACCAAAGACAGTTAGATCTGACGAACACTATGATAGAAGTACAAATATGCGGCAACTGGCGGGCAATCCGGCCCACTGACTTACCACTTGATTAAATAATACTTTTAGAAATACCTTCAGTTTTTTTATGACATAATGAACTTTTTTAATTATTCATTCTGCATAGAGAAAAAACCCTTTGAAAGTGAAAACATAGTAAAATTGAATATGGACTATAAATAGACTATAAAGTGTAAATTTGAATCTACATTTCTACTTATAATTGATATAAGTTTGTCATAAAAAATATCAATGATTGATCACCGGTCACCACGAAGTTCCAAATTTTCTTTTTTTGAATAACATTTTAGTTTTTTTATTAGAAAGTTTCGATGAAATACATTTTTTTTCTTCATATTTTTTCTGTCAAGTTTTTCCGTATATTTAAAATTCGGTTATGGTGATGGACCAAACCTCTGTAGAGTAAAAAAGTAGATGTATAGTTCCACATTTTATTGAAAATATATTTCGGTCTGGGTTGACCCTCGTCAGTTCTAACGATATAATAACCATCAAAATCGATAAAAAAATTAAAAACCGTAATAAACAAATAAAGATAAACAAATAAAAGAGATTATTCAAAATAAAAATTTGGGCTGTCAAATGGACATAAGGGAAACGAACTCAGATTATCAGATGGAAAAAAGATAATTTGCAAATATTCACTCTAAAAAAATGTTTTAAGACAATTATTATTCCTTGAGATTGTTTCTGTCACAAAGGTTAAAAACAAACTGTTTAGATGTATGTGTATAAAGTGATGGTGGGGTCGAACTAATTAACGAACTATTGCGTAAATCGGGGGGAGGGGGTTGGGGTCTGAAAGGGACTGTGACGTAATTTCAATTTTTCCCTTTTTTATAGAGGTGCAGTGGTATGAAGGAGAAGGAAGTTTGTCAGAATTTACCATTTTTCTAGATAAAAAAAAAATCTGCCACATAGAGGGTCATTCTAATTTCAAAATGTTGATTAAATCCTGATTTAAAATTATAACATTCACGATATCTTTACTTCATGCAAATCAGTTTAAAAGGTTAAAAAATTAAAAACCCAAAAAGAAAACAAAATCACCTTTTTGCCGCCCACCATAGCTCCGGCTAAATACAAAACTACCAGACTAAGAATCATACCTAGAAAAATGTAAAAAATTATTTTTAAAGAAGAAATGTTAAAAAAAAAAATGTACAGTTAGAACAAAATGAAAAAAAATATTTTAGATATGCTATGACTTTTTAATATGGTGGGAATTATTTTCTTTTTATTTTAATATTTTTGGGAGAAATTTGTGCAATTATTAGCTGAATTAATTCTAAAAATACTGTAGTTATTACAAATTACAAATTCTTGGGAAGATTTCTGAATTAAAAGAAATAACGAAGACCAAAATTTTTCCAAAGTTTACAGATCACTACATGACAGTGAGACCAATAAAACACTGGAATGGGAAGACGACATATAAGCAATCTTATGTTTTTTTAATGATGGTATGAACTAAATAGGGTGTGGTAACAGTTCGCCCAATAACGTTTCACCCAATCACGGTTCACCCAATTACGTTTCACCCAATCACGTTTCACACACAACGTTTCGCCCAATTTTAGGTAAAATAACGTTTCCCCCAGTTTAAAGAATTTTTTGGGGGGGTAAAACTCAAAAGTAAGTGTAGTTTGGGTGAAACGTGAATTGGGTGAAACGTGATTGGGTGAAACGTGATTGGGTGAAACTTGATTGGGCGAACTGCATACCACACGTCCTGTATAGGTTTACCAGTATAGCTTGAAAATTGCGTATAGGTGAATATAGGTCTGTGTCTACTGCACACAATTCATGTGTTTTGTGTTCATTAGAATATTTATAACTATAGAGTCTATAATAATTTGTCTTTTTATTCTACTGTTTAATGTGTCCTTCTGTACTGTATATATTTCCGTTTATGAAACTGTTCAATATGTGGGAAACTTAAAATTAAGTAATATTAAAATTTCAAATAAATATGTTGTCTGAATGTTTTTTTTATTTAAAAAAGTGAGAAAGTATGTGATTTCTGAGCTATCCATTTACCGGGTCTTTTTCCTTAAATTCAAGTAAAGAATATATATATATGTAGAGAGTATAGACTGTATCCACTGTTATCCAGAACTGTTAAAAATAAGATAAAATTCTGTGAAAATACAGGGTGAAATTTTATGAAATAATCTTACTTTTCACTAGCTATTGATTTAGATTTTAAATAACTAGTAGTTAGATGTCATTCAAATGCAATTATGCAATGCTTTAAAAAAGAAATATTTAGAGTCCAAATTGTTTTCAAAGAACCTCCCAAAAATTAAGTTTTTTGAAATTTTAAACAAAAAGTGTGTTATTTTGATTTCATTTCTCTTATTTACATCGTATACACAGGGTGAGAGGACCTCAGAGCAGAAAACTTTAGAATGAGATATATCTTTAATCCCGATTACTTAATCTAAGTATCCAATGGACACTCTTTTGATTTTCTTCTTAAACCGTTCTTTTTTGGATATAGAAGAGAAAAATCAAAAACCAGTTTTTTTTAAATTTTGGAGTCCCCCTTGTTTCTGTATATTAGTCTTAAATTTCAAATTTATCGGCTTCATATATGAAACTCTAATTGGTTGAATTTAATACACTTTTCAGGATACAAGTACAGATTAGGTTAGTCTCGATATTATGAAAAAGAGAGGATCAAGCATTAATCTTGAATCCACCATGCTAAAGTTTTCAGCTGTCTACAAAAACGAGGAAATAAAACTGTGTGACACCCTGCAAGTTCTAGCCTTGGATAAACTTTGTAAAATTAAGAGATAAAAATGCCATTCATTCGCAAAAAAACATGCATGATGTAATCTTAAAACAACAAAAATTTGAATGTCAATATTTTTAAAAACTTTTTTTTGTATCAAGTTATCACCGTTTCAAATAAAAAAAAATAAAAAATTTTGCATCGTTATTTTCTAATGACGTTCATATACAAAGAATAAATTGTTGCAGTTTATAAAGTAACATTCTAAAGCTGAAATTATTACAAGAAACATAAAGGCGGATGGTACTTATTAAAAGACGACATTTTAACAACATTTTTTTTTAATATTTCAATTTATTTTAATTAAATAAAGAGAACTCTTATCTTCTGTAAATAAATAAAATTAAGTCAATTTCAAAATACTTCTCATGGAAATTATTAGTTTCGCCACTTGGGAAATTGTCCCTCGGGAAGTTGCTCTTTGGGAAAAGGCCTTTCAGAAAATACCTTTTAATATTCCAAAATAAATACCATTCTTCCTGAAATATAATATTATGTAAACAAAAAAGTTTCAATGAAATATCAAATATGGAATACAAAATTTTTTTATCTCACTGATTACACGGATAACAATTATTTCCTCATGCATACTCTGAGTCACCCTGGGACGTACATTTGAGATTTCCCCCTCCCCATAGACACGTGGTTAAAACCCCTACACTTGAAAAAAAATGTACTACGGGGACCCATAATAAAAAGACGACTGTTGGACTCAAGTTGTGATTTAAATAGTCCAATGTAATGTTAAAACTGTGTTCCGTATAACAAATACACATTGAATTGCTTAAATGTCGTCTTCCTGTTAGACAATAATAAATTTTATATTTTCTTCTATCTTAAATATATTGTAATATTTAAATTTTCAATAATCTTGTAGAGAAAGTAACAATTTCACTTTTACAGGGTGGAGTTAGAATGCAGACTGGGAAAAATCCGTACAGTCGTCTCTGATGTTTCATTCCTTGTAGGTTATCATATAATATTTAAAACCTACATGTATTATATATATTAAAAATACGGAACAATTTTCTTGAAATAACTGCGGAATAGAAAGGCGACCGTTAGACTCAAGTTCAGGGGCGGATACAGGATTTAAGTGAAGGGGGGGGGGCAAGTTTTTTTAGGAAAAAAATTCATAATTATAGGAACAAAAATCGCGCCACAGGTGAAAATTTTTTTGACTTAAAAGACTAAAAAAGAGTCAAAATTAATGACTATAAAGACTAAAAAACTAGATTTTTAACTTTTCACACATTATTAAGACAAATATTTTTCCTGTTCTGCATTAGGGTTTCTTTCCCCCCTTAAGCATGCTATTGAGAAGCTATTCTAAAAATAGGAACAAAAAGTTCCAAATTCAGAAGCTACGCGCCCCTCCCTAAATCTTTCAGGGGGGACGAATGTCCCCCCCCCTGTATTCGCCCCTGCTCAAGTTATGAGTTCAAATAGTTATAAGTTATATGAAAGAAAACATTTGTATTGTATACACAGACCTATTTCACTTATCTGGATTGTCAAGCTACAGTCGCTGCAGCCTTGCAGGCAAAATTATTTACTTTTTTAAATGTCGCTTTCCTTTTTCATGGTATGAGGAGTCTTAATAATGTACAGGGTTACCCACAAAGTATGAGACTACTGTAAAACATGTTTAACTACATAATTCCTTATAGTAATGATTTCCTGCAATTTTAAACTTCCTTTCTCTTTGTTAATTCATTAAATAAGTCATTTAAAGATCAAATTCGAAACAAGTTCGACCAGGAGTATGAAAAAGAAGGGAGATATATCTGAGGCGGAGTGGGTTTCATGCATAGAGAATAGAATATATAGCGAGGAATTTACTAGAAAAAAGTGTAAAACGGCCATTTTGTTGTACTGTTTCCATACTGCAGGTGTACTTCACATATATATGCTATATAACCTGGAATATCATTTTATAGAAAATCTAAAATTATTGTTAAAAGAAAACCAAATTATGAAATAGGCTGGTTTCATAATTGACCAATGATCATTTAACATAGACTCTATGCCTTCCACTTTACAAACGATGATTTTCCGTTAAAACTATAAATGATGTTTTTATTCACCTAATTCATTATTAAGTTTATTTAACAGTTTAAAAAATTCGAAATTGAAATGGATAGTCTAGGGAACATACTTGTCAACCATTAACTTCAAGACCCCCCCCCCCTCCATGTAATGTCGTCTTCAACCTAAAAGCACCTCTCAGAGACGAGAAACCAAACCAATCAATTTCAACCCGCTTCTCTTTGTTCTCCGAGAACGGAATATAAACACTTTTATTAATTGTGAACCACTTCAAAGTTAAGCAAAGAATATTTACATATAAAGAATTAGTGACTTTCCTTAACATTTAATTGTCACTCTTTTCAGAAGTTTTAATGTATAAAAAAAACGTCTTAGGACTCCCCGACAGTTTAACCCACAGATACTCAAATAGATCGTAAGAATCTTTTCATTATAAAACAGAAAGTGTCTTAACCTAACCTAACCCTAAATAAATACACTAAATTAATTATTTTCTGGATCTACAAAATTCAATTTTGGAATTTTCCGGGGCATTGAACACAACATGAATCCCACTCCGCCTATACCTGACGCGGCCCGCCTTACCATATAATTATACATATGTTTTGTAGACGGTACTTCATAAAAAAAAGAAATATTTGTCTGTTGTACAATTACCGCGTATACAATAACCTATTCTGAATGTTTCTTATACAAATGGAGTACCATCTACAAAGCATGTAAAATCATATGGTAGGGCGGGCCGCGTCAGTTGTATCTCCCTTCTATTTTATACTCCTTGGGTTCGACATATTTTAGTAGTTTCAAGTCATCTTTACAGTCTCATCCTGTGTGGGTAACCCTGTATAATTTTTTTTAATTACATTGTCAGAATTAATGCATTTTTGATCATTATACAAATTTTCAAACATGATGTGGAATTTGTTTGTCGTCTTCATTTAGTCTTTCTGTTTGACTATAAATGTGCTGTTTATAAAAAAAGTGAATATTTTGATGCATGGGTCCCAATAATTCTGCATTAATTCAGTGACGAATTCGATATCGTCTTTCTAAATAATTCTTTGGTTTAATATATAGTGATACCTACTGAGAAAGCTGTATATTTTAGTCTGCTGTTGCGCGACTGCGCTATTTCCGTAAAGACCTAATGTAGATTCAATAACTACCGTGCTGTTTTCGTCCGGACCGGAAAGTAAGATCTTTTCGTCCTACTCTTCTCCATAATAAAGAACACACAGAGTAGCTCCAATCTTTATTTATACTCCGATCTTCAAACTGACAAAATAAGAAACTTTAATACCCTATAGAAAAGCTTTGAGCGATTAATAACAAATCTCAGGCATAAAAACTACGGGGGGGGGGAGGAGCTAAAGAACATATACGATACATGAGAATAAATACAGAAAACACAATTATTTATATATAAAAGGATATTTACCACAATGATCCTCGATTCTTGGCACAGTTGAAATACATTTAATACACGAAATCGGTTTACAAACGATACTGACACTAAATATTCTTTGAGTTTATGTGAGAATCCTGCGCATGAGTAGAGGAATCCGTTCACCGGCCCCAAACCAGTTCTCCTCTCTCAACGTCTTCATCTCTGTACAGGGGTCAACTCAAAAATCATCAGGGGCGCAATATAGACTTTACTAACGCAGTATGTATCTGTGTAACATCTGCTATGTTAACAATTTGTTTGTTTCAGGGAATGGGAAGGAAATGGCGCTGGTCTGGCATGTGAAAGCCAGTCGCACTGCTTTGCAGACGAGTTCGGTATCACACACGAACACTCTTTTGGTACAGACAAACAACATGACTACAGTAAAGGAAATTGCAGAACAATGTCGTCAATTATAATTAAACTTGAATAACGAGTAGTTTATTGTAAACTTTAATCAAATTATATTCTTTGTAAGAAAATTTGGTTTAAAGTGATGACTTAAATGTATTGATAATACATAACATGTATATTAATTACTTATTTTTAAGTAAACAATAACAATAAACAAATGTACGCACCAGACTGTACCAATACCGAGATTCTTATGTACTGTATCAGTTAAACCCTTAATAACGAATACAGCGGAAGAATTTATCAAATGTCGTCTTGACAATTTTTCAATGAGTTTTATATTATATTACGTAAATATCAGTATTTGCGAAAATAAATAAATAGCCATGAATATGCGGGAACAGTTTTAACGAGTTCCATAGAATCATTTAATTAAAAAACTAAATATCTTTGGTTCTGTATTACTTACACACACTCTTTTGGTACATGACACACATACATGACGTTTCCGCCCCCCGTTATGTTTATGTTTTGACTACATACTGTTGTACTATGGTAAAACAAAAAAATTACAGTATACAAATAGAGTCTTGTCTTGTCATCTTGCAAAGATATTATAGATTCATAGACACATTTTTACAGTCATTTACCGTTTTCATCAAATAAACTCTAGCAGACAAAATAATATGATGGCTTTTGAAATTAGGCATTACAATTTGCTATTTCATAACAAAGACGATATAGAATTCGTCACTGAATTCCAATGTTTATTGGGACACCCTGTACTACAAATGTGTTGTTCATAAAAAGCTGAATATTTTCATATAAAGACTAAAGGAAGACGACAATAATTCAGCATCGTACATTATCGTGTAATCATACTGATAATAATAACATTTTTATCAAATGAATTGAGTCTTTGTCACAAACACAGATTTACTAATCCCAATATCTTTCAAACTTGATGGTGTAAACCTGTGATATTTCAAAATTAATTTATATGATCCAGCATAATTCATAGTTTGAAATATCTATCAAGGTCTGCGACATTGGGTTGAAAAGATATAACGATTAGAAAATCCGAGTTTGTTGCAAAGACTCAATTCCTTTGTCAAATATCCATCACATTTTCACTTATAGTAGGACTCATAAACTGTGGAGTGATAATACGACATTTAAAGGGACTGTATATTGATAAAGGATAATATGACATTTAAAGGGACTGTATTGATAAAGGATAATACGACATTTAAAGGGACTGTATTGATAAAGGATAATACGACATTTAAAGAGACTGTATTGATAAAGGATAATACGACATTTAAAGAGACTGTATTAATAAAGAATAATACGACATTTAAAGGGACTATATTGATAAAGGATAATACAACATTTAAAGGGACTGTATTGATAAAGAATAATACGACATTTAAAGGGACTGTATTGATAAAAGATAATACGACATTTAAAGGGACTGTATTGATAAAGGATAATACGACATTTAAAGGGACTGTATTGATAAAGAATAATACGACATTTAAAGGGACTGTATTGATAAAAGATAATACGACATTTAAAGGGACTGTATTGATAAAGGATAATACGACATTTAAAGGGACTGTATTGATAAAGGATAATACGACATTTCTAGGGACTGTATATTGATAAAGGATTATATGACATTTAAAGGGACTGTATTGATAAAGGATAATACGACATTTAAAGGGACTGTATTGATAAAGAATAATATGACATTTAAAGGGACTGTGTTAATGAAGGATAATGCGACATTTAAAGGGACTGTGTTGATAAAGGATAATACGACATTTAAAGGGACTGTGTTGATAAAGGATAATACGACATTTAAAGGGACTGTATTGATAAAGGATAATATGACATTTAAAGGGACTGTATTGATAAAGGATAATATGATATTTAAAGGGACTGTGTTGATAAAGGATAATGCCCGATTCACAGCGGTACCCTTCGATGCTTTGTCTGAATTAAGTTTGAATAAAATATCAATGTTCATAATAAAAAACTGATTATTTTTGCTTTTGGTTTCTACTACAGGAGAACATTTAGGGATTATTAGAAATAATTACATATACGACAATATCTTCTGTATTATTGATCAGATAAAGTTTTCAAGGCTGCTGTTGCAATCTTTGAGATCCGGGTTCAACATAATGACAATATTTTTCGCAAATTTTTTTTGCTAACTTTTGCGCATTTTTTACGCGTGAAGCGCAATTAGTTTAACGCGTTTTTTGTGCAATTTTTTGCATAATTAGCGCTACACCGAAAGTTATGTGAAAAACGTATTTTTTTACGCAAATAATATTTTAAGCAAATTTACCAAAATTGAACGTTTCAGTTAAGTTTCAGCTGAGAATCTAACAATTGAAGGTTTATTAAAAAAAATTACATACAAGAACAAGAAATAAACATGGGAATTCAGTGACGACTTTGATTTTGTCTTTTTAAATACTTCTTTGATTTAGTATAGTGATACCTACTGAGAAAGCTGTAATCTGTAAGAGTTTCGTCTGCTATGTTCACATTTTGTTTGTTTATGTTTTGACTGCATACGGTTGTACTTTGTAAAACAAGAAAATTGCAGCATATAAACTGAGTAAACTTGTCCGTCTTCACTGTTCATCTTGCGGAGACATTATAGACACATCTTTACACATCTTTTACCCTTTCCATAAAATAAACTCTAGCAGACATGATAATATTATGGCTTTTGAAATTAGGTATTACAATGCTAACTCATAACAAAGACATATCGAATTCGTCACTAAATTCCCATGTTTTTTTGGACACCCTGTACAAAAAATTATGATATTATGCTACTCTTTTCGTGCAAAAATGTAGCGCAATGAAAGCAAAAAAAAATAGCTTTCTTCCGTAAAAATTTTGCGAATGAAATCCTACTTGAGATAACGCTTACAGTTGGCCCATTTAAGTAATCTATGATTGAAGAGATATTGAGAGGAACAAAAATGTTATAAAATTTAAACATGTAGTTATGTTTTCCCTTCTGTTGACGTGTAAAATCAAAACTGGATGAGCAAAGATTTTAAATAATTAGAAAAGAACTTTCGAGTGTTTCATTTTAAGGGTATAAAAGTTTCTCCTGCAAGGGATAATTTATATTATAAATACAAATAGAGCAAGAAAATTTTTATACCATCTCATGGGTTAACATCATTTATTCGCAAATAGTTTAATACGCATACAAACAAACATTATGTACAGTACAATACATTACAGTACATGTATTGTATACTATGTACTTACATCACTTACATTTACACTGTTTAGCTGAACATTTTCTTGACTAGCTAACTTTGGCGGACAATTAGAAAAATGTTATTTTTACATAATTATTTTTGGACTTCTCGGGAAGCTCAGTTCGATTAATTAACCAAACAAAATTATTTACAACAGTCTTTGGAGATCTATTATGTTCAGAATAAGAAAGAAAATTTACAAAATATTAACTTTTTTTACAAAATATTATTAGCAAGAAATAACATTAACTAGATTTAATGGGTGATGCCCAAATTAGTATATATAATGCCCTAAATAGATATTTCTGTACAATAAACTAAACTTACATATAAATATGATTAAAGTTTGCACCATTTGTTCAGCTTTGGCCTGGTTAATAATGTATTAAACCATAGCCGGAAGGCGAAAAGTCGAAGACACATGTTTGGATGGCCAAAGGATAACGATAAGGCACTTTTGGCAGCCAACAAATTTTCAAAAAAGTAAATGATTAAAAAATTTAGTAAATAAAGAAAATCTCTGTGAAAGTCTGATTTTCCATTGATTGTCTCTGTAAATTTATTGCATAATTCCAGAGTAGGTTATTGAGGACATAGAGGGGACGCTAGGAGGACTAGTAGAGGTGTGTATAGGACTACTGGAGGTTAGGAGGGAGCTGGAGGGGTTGATGAGGGGGGAGGAGGAGGAGGTGAGGAGGGAGCTGGCTGGGTTGAGTAGAGGAGAGCTGGCTGGGAGTAGAGGACTTGTCGAGGTTAGGTTGGATTTATTCATACACTTCTCCATGTGTCCTTTTAGGACGTCGCGCCTCTTAAACTTCCGGCCGCAGAGTTGGCAGGGATACGAGGCCGAGATCCCGCATTCATATCTCTGGTGACGGACCAAGGTCGCCTGGTGGAGATAGGAACGGCCGCATCTCGCGCAGGAATATTTGTTGGTCAGAGGATCTCGCGGATTTTCGAGGCCGTGCGCGTCAGAGAGGTCGAGGGAGCGGGTGAGGGAGGACAGGGAATTGTCCATTAAAGGGAATACAGGACCTACTCCGTCTGAAATCATTTCATAATAATATTTTAAAAATTTATAATACATAAATTTTTAATAATAAATAACAGGGTTGCATTGACTAAGTAAGTAATCTATGAATAATTTGAGCAATTCAATGAGTGAGCAATGAGTAGTTTTGAGCAATATTCAATTTCCGGGAGTGAGCAATTTTTACAGTTATTTAGCAATGTAAATTTTTTTTTATTTTGAGCAAAATTAAAAAGTTTTTGAGCAATTAAGTTGATACAGTTGTAACAAGGGGGGCTGGAGCGATACTAAGAGAGTTTTGAATTGTTAAATTATGAATTTTCTTCATGTGAACTTTCAAATGATCAGTTCTCTTAAACACTTGACCACATGTTTTACAGGGATGGGGCACGAAACGCCCCTGATGCTGATGACGAACATGACGAAGCAGCGTGCATTTGAGATTAAAAACTCGTGCACAAATTGTGCATTGAAACTTGGCCCCTTCCGAGGTTTGACACATGGTATACACGGAATCAGCATTGGAAATCCTCTTGAGTCGAGTGGGGGAGGCGTGGCCTGTCGGGCCCCCCCCTCCCCAACCTCTCAAACCTCCGTCTGAAACAAGAGAGGAGGTCACAGTCTTTGGAAAGGTTTTTGAACAGGGACGGGGTAAGGTTTAAAGGTTTGAGAAACCCCGCGCTTTTTTCTTGTCAAAAAAGTGACTTCCTCTCTTGATTTAAATGAGCATGGAGCCGAATTTTGTGATTCAGTTTAACCATGTACAGTCCTCGTGAGTAAATTGTCAAAAAATCTATTTTGTTAAATTAAACAATAAATCATGCTTTCTGCTCTAAACTTGCTTCAACCCCCGAAAAAAGAAATACTTTTAGCAGTTTTTTGACAATTGATGTTAAACCTCTATACCCCGCCGAATGTTCTAATAAGCACAGGGTGTCCAATAAAAAAGAGGATGTAGATAAACCAGGGGACACCCTGTAGGTTAGTGAAAAGGATTGGTTAGTGGGTTGACTGTGTCCCTCTCTTGTCTCAGTTTAAGGGGCTTAACAGACCCACAAAAAAAAAAAAAAAAAAAAAATACTAAAAAAAAACTAAATACAACAAAAAACTACAAATTTAAAACACCCCAGCCTGTTCAAACTGTGCCCCTTTTATCCAGGGAAGTTTATTTTTTATTTTGAAGATACAGTGAAACCCATTAAACTGTGGATTAGGAAGACGACATTATGTATGTAAAAGTCGTCTTTATTGTTCACAGGTTTAAGGGCTCCACTGCATAAAATAGAAAATTGACTTAATTTATGAAAAAAAGTTATAAATGGCATCATTCCAACCCTCCCCCTTTCTAGTTCTACTAAATAAAGAGTTTAAACTTTTTACCCGAAGCAATTGAACAGATTTTTCAGGCTAAAGTTGGCCTACTTAAAGAGTCAATATTGACATAGTGAGTTTATTCTTCACATCAAAACCAAACAAAATCCAGAACTATGAATCCCAGTATCCCGGTCTTATCTGAGCTAGTAAATTCATCATGGAATAACTTACACACACACACCTTGAATAAATCACACTAATTCAAGCAAAACCTGGCACACATTTATACACTCAAAAAACATGAAAACAAACTTGTTAGAGGGACTATAAGCGTAATTTTAAGTAAACCTCCATGTAAAAATTGCCATTCCAGATTTACAATAAAATGGAAAATATTGAAGTTTTTCTAAAGTAAAAAAGTTTTAAATCCATGCAGTAATATTCGCAAGTCACTTCTGTAGAAAAACCACAATTGAAAAGAATCAGTTTTCAAAATAATAAAAAATTAATATCCAATTCGTACTTAACCAAAGTTTTAAGAGTACCGTTGTGAATCGGGCATTCATATCTTAGCATGGAGGGTCAATTGAAATTATTCTTACAGTCCCTTTAAATAAAATACACTTACCGTCAAGTGAGTCTTCGTCTTCATGTGGAATACCCGGAATCTCCTCTCCTGTCCAAGGATTGATAAACCCAACAGCAGGAACTGAAATTAAGTTAGGATTTAATTCATTTTCTTTGTTTCTCCGACGTAAACTTGACTCTGGTATAAGTATTTAAAGAATGTGAACTATAACATACCTGCACGTTCAGCCAGCTCTTTGTTGCTCATTGCTTCTTCTTCGCTGTCGTCTACACCGTTCTCGCCTAAATCCATTTCAGCAATATCATCATCTTTTCCGTCAGAGTTCTCTTTGTTCTCCTTTCCTGTATCCCGGTCTTCGTCGATCTTAAGCACATCCGAGTCCGATTCATAATTATTGTTAGGTGCACAAGGTCCGGAGGAGGGAGCCATGATGTTCTTAGACTTCGGAGACATCCTGGAGGTCTTAGCGAGCAGGTCTTTTTTCACCGTGAGTTCCGGTTTAACGCCGTTGGATTCCAGCTTTAAAGGAGATGATGTAACAGGGTTCTTTCTTGGTTTCTTCATGGGCGGTGGCACAAGAGCAGCATGCTGACGAGCTGCTAGAGCAAGCTGTTCATGGAAATCAAACATTTGCATGGGTGGTGAGTCAACCATTTTGGCAAGCCTGGCAGCTAGGATTCCACCGGACATTGGGTCTAATCCCTTCTTTCCTCCGATCTCCTGCTTGTAGGGAGTGTTAAGCTGCTGGGTGATGGGAATACTGGGGATATTTAGATGGTTTCCAGGATGGTTTAGCTCTGCCACCTGTTCAAGCTTCTGTTTACTAGCTCCCTCTGCTAGACCTCGAATCTGCAGGGACTCCGCAGTCTGAATGAAGGAGGACAACATGTGCTGGGGGACGTTGGCCTCTCCCTTGTACATGTATTCCACCAGAGACTTGAGGTTCTCGAAGTCCACGTCCTTCATCACGATGACAGGGTGCTTGTCGTTGAGGAAGGCCGACTTGAACAACGTCTGAAATAAAAGGTTGAATTATTGACGTATTTTAACTTGAAGATAAGAGATGCATGATCATTTGAATTCAACAGGCTATTAGTCTTTAGTGTAGAATTGTATGCGCATGAAAGAAATAGGCAAAATGTGCATAAATTTATCTATTTTTCTTCAGAGAAAAAGCATTTTCAGACTATATAGAGACGTCTAAATATTTCAATTAACTATTTACTTTTTCATGGTTTAGAACTTTTTTCACTATAGTTCAAAATTCAAAACTCCATTTATATTTGGGTTTGTGAGTATTATCATCTCTGAGTCTACGTATTTATGGTGGTGCTAGCTAAGCCGGCCAGCTCACCGCCTGCCTGGTTGAGAAAGGCACTATGCTGCCTGAAATGCCTGCAGGATGCCTGGAACCTGGAGGTACCCCCAGGCACTATACCTGGAACCCGGCCCAGCCACCCGACCACGGGTATTTATAGTTGCGCAGGAGCTAGGCTGCCCGGCAGGATGGCTTTCTATCCAATATAGTCACGTGGTTTCTATCTTACTAAATATCTTCATATCTATCTATACCTTCATTCCTAGCTATCTCACTTCCTAGCATTTCTAGACTATGCCACATTCCATAGGTGCAGCAAAACATCCAGGTTCGGAGCCGGAGATTCCCGTCCCTACCCTTTCTATCCCTAGAACCCAGAGCTGGGTCCGAAACCCTCGGAGATAATCTCTCCGAGTTGGGGAATGTCACATATTCATTAATTCTCCAGGTGGGACTTACACCCCCCCCCCTCTCTATCCTCCTAGTTCAACCCATTTCCCTCTTGTTTTGTCCAAACAATATTCTCTATTTTTGAGAGTTTTTCTCCGAGGAAAACTACTAAGATATATCTAGTGTATCCAGGTAGAGTTGGATAATTTGGTTTAAATTTGTGTAAAATAAACAAGGTTTTGTTATCTTAATAAATCCTTATCTCTCTCTATACATGTATGGTGAACTCTGCAGTAGCTCACAGAGATATTAATTTTAATCCTAACTCATACACTCAACAGGTTCCTAACTATCATAACCCGCTCAGGTTCTTAACTATCCTAAACCACTCAGGTTTCTAACTATTCTATTCCTAACTCATACACTCAACAGGTTCCTAACTATCCTATTCCTAACTCATACACTCAACAGGTTCCTAACTATCCTAACCCACTCAGGTTCCTAACTATCCTATTCCTAACTCATACACTCAACAGGTTCCTAACTATCCCAACCCACTCAACATGTTTTTAACTATCCAAACCCACTCAACATGTATCTAACTATCCTAACCCACTCAGGTTTCTAACTATCCCAACCCACTCAACATGTATCTAACTATCCTAACCCACTCAACAAGTTCCTAACTATATCCTAACCTACTCAGGTTCCTGACTATCCTAAAAAACTCAACAATAATAAGGCGTATAAGGTTGGATTCAGATTCCGGTATGCTGTAGAGCTGTAAGGGGGAGGGTATCTTGAGTTAGGGTAGGAGGATGGGGGGTATCTTTGAGTAA